AGCTCATGGGCCTCCCTCTCCATAGCTTCTCATAATTTCTTCTTTTAATTTTAACTTTGCTATTTTTGTTATGCTCTCTCTCTCTCTCTCTTTCTCTCTCTCTCTCTCTCTCTCTCTCTCTCTCTCTCTCTCACACACACACACACACACACACACACACACACACCTCTTAGTTTAGTTCTCTCTTACACTCTCTTGGTCTCCTTTCCCCATACTCTTTTTCTTTCTTGCTCTTACTCTCCACCCTTGCTCTCATTGCCAGGTTCAGTACACTGGCTATGTTCATTGTACTACTTTCTCTCCCTGTTCTGGACTTTTTCAGATGCCTCTGACTGTACTCTCCCTCATAGCTCCAATAAAACCTTTTCCTCAACTATACCATGGAGAGGTCAAGTCATCAGTTTATACAATAGTAATGATATATCTATATCTATGTTTATCTCTATCTATCTATCTATCTATCTATCTATCTATCTATCTATCTATCTATCTATCTATCTATAGAGAGAGAGAGAAAGAGAGAGAGAATTTTAACTACTCTGATTTTAGGAAAGTTTTTTTCAAGATCTTTTCAGTTCCTTGCCATTTTGTGATTGATATGCCTTCTGAGCCTGGATAGCCATTTTCTTAGTTTAGGTTTTGAAAGCTTTTTATAATGGCTTTATTGAATATACTGTTTTTGACTCTCTTATATTTAATAGAATCGAAACATAATTGCATTATTCTCTCTCTTCCATTTCTTCCTTCTAGCACCTTTAATATATTTTTTTCTGGGATTTTATCTAATTCGATCTCACTGTGGACCGGTACTATGATATTTTCCAAGGGGAGAAGATCATATTTCCTTGATTTGTTCTCTTCCTTGTTCCATTCCATTGAGATCTATGCATCTGAGTTATTCATTGATTGGGTTTATCAGTTGTTCTATTGCAGTCAAAATATTATCAGTATTCAATTGATATAATTTATATGCATAATTTAGAATTTATACCCCTGTCATGTACTCATTGTGCCTGGTAATTGTTAGGAATATTCTCTAATACGAGCTCTCTGCCGATGCAAGATCCCACTCAAGCCAAATCAAAACAAACCAAATTAGAAGATATCCAGGCTTAATTGGACTCCTGCACTCTCGGGTGATCCCAAGGGAAACCAGAAAGCTGACAATGTGACTACGTGGGAAAGAGGGAAAACCACGTGTTTATTTTGGGGGGAGCAGTTTAAATAGCCTTGGGGAGTGGTCTTGACTTTTTTGAGGGGAGGTGTCAAATTTTGGTGGGCTACCTTGACCCTTTTTGGAGGGGGGTCAAGTTTCAAGGGGCACAGGGGGCAGCGCCTCCAAAGATGGAGGCTGGAGACGGGGATTTACAGTAATATTTGAATATTATCTGTAGAATCAGCCACATTGCTGGATAAAATTCTATGAAAGTATTCTTTTAGCCAATTAGTAAGCATGATCCTTTTAACTTCAGTAACTATTGGAGGACTAATGCATATGGGTAGTATGGTGAATAGTAGAGTATTACCAAGATTCTAAGGAGGAGGGATGTGGTCTAGATATGGATAGGGATTTCTGTTAAATTAATTGGAAGAAAATTAAAATGAGGAAAAATATTTGGGAGCAGAGCATTGGTATATTGTTAATTTCTATAGTTTAAACATTTTTTTTAAAAAGTTTGGAGATATAGAGTTAATAAGAAAAAGAAGTGGGGGCAGGAAAGACAAAATATAAAAAGAAGTAGAAATGAGTGAGAAAATATACTGTTTGTATGTAGGAAGAATATCACATGGTACATAATAGTACAATGGTTTAAAAGCAAACAAAACACTCATGCAAACTTAACATTGTGTGACCTAAAGCATAACCATTATGAAGCATTTATTCAAGAGTTAAGATTAAAAGACAAAAAGAAAAATTAAAATTTACAAAACTTTCAACAGTAGCAAAAATGTATAGTAAAAGCACTTTGAATTTAAAACATCATGTCAGTCAATATTTCTTTTATCCTGGGATGGATTTTGAAATTTTTCCTTCCCTTCAAAAGTTTCATGTGGCAAACTGCACTAATGGGAGAGTTGCAGTTTGTTTGTTATTCCAGTAGACATCTGTAAAGCCTGATTTTGTGTATGCATTGTCCCATAGAGGTTAGCTAGCATCACTTTGGTTTGAGCATTTGGCACAGCCACAGTGAGGTGAGCAGTGCAGCTCTCGGTTCCCTCCTTGGTACTCTCTGTGGTTTGGCAGCACTGTTTGGAGAAGACAGCTTGGGATCTGTTGCCGTGGGTTCCCATTGACTAAAGCAACAGACTTGGTTTAACAGAGTGTGTCAATTGCCCTATCACATTTCAGGCCCTGGACCCACCCAGCTCTCAATTTTGTGGCAGATCTTTCTTCAGGCTCTGTCACAGTGTTGACGTACTGGTACTCAGAAAGGGGAAGGCGGTATGAGCTTTGGTCCTGCAGTTCCCGCTTAACCTCAACCGGAACCCTGCTGCGAGATGGAAAGCTTTAGTTCCAAGGCCTCATCTCCAATTGCTAGCCAGTCCTTGGTTCTCAGCTAACTGTTACTGCAGCTCTGCTGAGTGTATGTACTGCAAAGTGCTTCCCTGTGGTTTCCAATTACCTCACCAGAGCCAATTTGTGCAGCTAGGCACTAGTTCACAGCCACTCCTGTCTGCCTCCCCACAGAGATCTCACTTGGCTTAATAAGCCCATTTAGAGCTACTGTCTCTTGCAAGGATAAAGAGGACCCTGTACTCTCCTGTTTTCTTTCAGTGGGTTGCATCATGAGATCTCTAATCTGCCAACTTCCCTAAAAATGCCTATTTTTAATTAATTTTTTTTTGGAGAAACATCCAAGCTGTTTTATAACACGACTTCATTCTACATCCTTACCAGCATTAAAAACAAAATCTTCAGTATTATTTCTTTTCAAAATCTTGCTGTTGAAAAGTCTTTCGCTGGTTAGTGATGTAGCACATGGTTTCATGGCCCTGTAGGTTATTTGTATGTCTTCTTTTGGAAAATGTTACTTTCAATTTAAGGCATCTTACTTAATTTGAAAGAAAGACGGGACCCAATTGTACCTGACTCCAAATGCATTTCTTCGCTATTCATTGTCACTGAACAAGTTGCACACACTCTCTGAACTGTGGTTGTCTAGTCTGTAAAATGAGGCTCACAATAGTTTCCTGGCAGAACAGTTATAAAACCAAACAAAATAATGTCCTTGAGAGAGTTCTTTACAAAGTCCAGACGACCGGACAAATAGAAATTCTTTATAGTTAAAGTTTTCCAGCAACAGTATTGCCATATTTGTGTTTCTTTTTCTGAACTTTCAAGTGGTGTGGAAGTAAATGGTAGTCAGAGAGGCACTAAGTCAAATGGACCTTTCATTATGGTCTTCCTTTTTTGAGTTTCATGACAGCAGCTTAATGGATTAACAGACCTCTTTTTCCCTCAAAGAAGTGCAGTTTTGCCAATGCAGATGGTTTTAAAGGTAATAACCATGTACACGAGAGGAACATTTGTAAACCATTTATCATGAAGACTAATGTGGTACTTAAAAGAGATATTTTTTGTCAAGACAAGAAATTTGTTGCATTAGCTTCATCCTAATAACCAATATGACCTGTCCTGTGGTAGCCTTGCCATGGCCTTGGAATTCCTCCACAACCCTATGGGCATCCCTCTGTAGAATACATGTTAAAACTAGAGTTAATACTAACTTTTGATAGCCTTGGGCTTAGATCTTTTTTATTTTTTTTAACTTATAAATGGAAGAAGGAATTAGGATAAATATTTTTTTTTTATTTTTTTCAGTCGACAGAACATGGTATTTACTTAAAAACCCCTGAAGATTCTTAGTGCCCTTAGAAAAATGATGTTTCTGATCAAAGTCCCCAAGTTATCAGACTTATATTTTCCTTCCCCTTTCATTGTGTATCACTCTCTTTATTTATGAATCAGTTGTGTTAATCTTCTTATCCATGAAACAATACTAATTTGTACTCTACTTGGGATTGCGTTAGCTATACATCATTCCCAGGAAGCAGTTAGTCAGGGAGCTCTTCCCAGCTTCCACTCTGCATCATATCAACATAAGTTTGTTCTTGGGCCCTCAATGTGCGTGTGTGTGTGTGTGTGTGTGTGTGTGTGTGTGTGTGTGTGAGAGAGAGAGAGAGAGAGAGAGAGAGAGGCGGGGGGTCTTACAATCATACTGGTCACTTTGCAAATGTGAGACAAGTAATTGATGAATGAACAAATGTGCAAAAACCAAACATGCGCATACAGAAACTTTACTGACTTTCTATTGATAGCCTTTATGGTAAAATCTAATAGCAACTGAAGAAGCAACAAGGGATGTGAAGTAAGTAAAAATTAAGGAGTCCCTGCCTTGTTCTCAGTTTTCATTGCTTTTCTTTTTATTCAAAAATTTACCTTTAATTGGACCATTCTATGCTTCACCTGGTTTCTTATCCCTGAATCCTTTCTCAGACAGTTTTCTTAGTGAAGCAGACCCTTCAGAACAGAGGCCACATCAGCTTTCGTGATTCTTCTGTCTTTCACAATCCCCAAACCTGGTATTTGTTTCTAAACCTTATTAAATGTACTTTGCTTTGTTTAACAGATTTCTCTCATCCAAAAATTCTGAACCTTTATATTTACAAATCTCTTTATGAGGTACCGCAGTATTGCATTAAGCTCTCCCTGGCCTCTGAGTCTGCTAGCCTCACTTCTTGATTGAACACTGACTACTGTTGCATACGATTTGTATCTCATTGTATCTGCCCAACTGAACTGAACTAATAAGAGTTGAGAATTGATGAAACTTCTAATATTGTCCTTTCTTAAATTTTTTCTTAAACATTTGTTTCCTTATTTCTTTCACAAGACAGACAGACAGACAGACAGACAGGCAGGCAGACAGACAAACACACACACACACTTCCTGGTTTCTTAGATGTACAAAAGAAAAGCACTGATCAGAAGGGTTTACCTTGGAGAGCTCCTGTCCAGGGCCACACTGTTGGCAGGTGACACAGTGTCCCCATTGGTCCCGGTACTCATTTTCTTGACAGTCCATGGTGAAGAAACTATGGGTGCAGAAAACAATTACTACTGAGAAAACCAGAAAATTTTCAAGCAATGGCATTCCTGACACCTTGTTTCTGTGTCTTCTTAACTGTGGCTTTTAGTGAGAATGGCCAACAAAGGAAAACTAATGTAGGTAAAACTTTTAGAGTACAGACAGTGTGCCCAGAACTCTTCTAAATGCTTCCTATGTGACAATATATTCGATTCTCAAAAAATGACACAAATTATTATGAATTCCATGTTACAAGTAAAAAAAAGGCACAGGGACAAAGAAATTTTCAGCTATACCAGGAGCTCACTGTCAATAAACAAAGAAACAAACAAGCAAGCAAATAAATAAGTAAAACAGTTGGATTCTTTCTTTCTTTCTTTCTTTCTTTCTTTCTTTCTTTCTTTCTTTC